TATATGGTGAAGATAAATAAATATATACGTACATATGTACGCGAGTCTATGCAATCTATGCAATACTTTCTTCAGCCATATATGCAGCACTTTATGTTAGAGAAGAGGCGGATTCTCTGCTTCCGCGCTCTTATCAATCTTACATATCTGATTATTATTGTGGTGTCTGTGGGCCCAACGTTGATGCTCCAGCAAATGCCATGTAAGGGCTTTCGCGCTTAAGGCCTACTTTGTTCAATAGTGACAAACCAGGCAAAGAGTTACTGCCGTTGGAACGGAAGGAAAAAAGCCGGAGTAAAGGACATCAGCTGACGAGGGAGCACAGAAGCTACAGACACAGAGACAGCTGTCAACGAACACAAGCGAAGATATTAATGCTAAAAAATGAGAGACAAAGCTTACCTTCTCGATAAAAAGCGGAAGACAGCATCTCCCTACAACTATTTACGTGGAAGGCGATGCGGCGGATTACCCATGAGCTTCGGTCGCGTGTGCGTCTGACGACCAGTCAACCGTAGACTACGGCTAACGAATGCAACGAAATAAAATTGATGTTAATGCATACGCTCATCAAACATCGTCGATGCATAGTGAACTAATGCATTAGCACTACTGATGACTAATGGGGCGCTGAATAAATGGCGACAAATCAGAGAAGAAAAGAACAGGACCCACGTACGGTTGTTTGGCTGGAGACGACCGCATACGTTGTCAACAGGTCAAAGATGAAGGACGACACCGTGTAGAGTAAACTTTAATAAATAATAGTAGAGAATAAAATATTCGTAACACTGTTGGAGTCAAAAACAATAGTAAATGTCCTCAGACAGCCGCAAAATGCAATGTCAGCAACTCTATATGCATATTTGCGTGTCCTAAAAAGGTTATTCAACGGAGCCAAACGTGAAGATAATCATCATACACTAAATACGGGCACACATCAAGTGCGTTCACACATATATGTTTCTATGTCGATTCCTCTACGTATGTATATATGCGTACACGTATATGCAAACACGCGTATACTTTCGTATGCAGGTATTTCTGTGTACGTGCAAGTAGCCGTACACAGTTCTAGTGTAGAGCGGTAATTTCCAGTTAGCTTTGTTTATATTTTCATTTAGCGCAGTATTTTTAACATGTGATTATCATTTTACGCCTCAATGTCGGATGCTTCGGAGGAAGAAGAGGATTTCCTCTCCGCCTCGTAGGACGTCCTGAGACCCTTTTCCCCCAGCACAGTCAAGTAGCCTTTGCCGTCTGCGCAAGTCAGCACTGCTGCATTTATGTCTCCTGCCTTGACTTTCGCGCTACCAAGCAACGCGCTCAGGAACCGCGGATGCGAGAAAAAGAGACCAGAGGAGAAGTTTTTGGCCAAGCAGAGTGCCCTGAGAAATACCTCGTTGCGGAGCTGTAGCACGTCTAGCGACTCTTTAGGTAGAGGCGAATTGGGAGGGGGGATACTTCTGTTTTGTAAAGATGA